CGGCGAGAGTCCTGAGGCGAGTCTAATTCGGAGAGAATGTTGTCTTTCATCGTCTGAAAATTGAGAATGGCTGACCCGCGGACGTTGAGGGTGAAACCGCGTACCTTGCACACTACTTTGCCACCACGGGTCTGGTACCCATAATTCTTGGCGCCCCCCGAAACAAACTCAGTGATGACGTCTCCATCTAATTCATCGGTCATGTCGCCGAGAAAATCCCCGGTGGCAATGCTGGGTTGACCGGGACGCCACTTGTACACCACACTGTCTGTATCATAGTAAAGGACTTGCTGTTGAAGGGTGTTTAGGGACTCATACAGCTTCAATCGAGCATGACAGGTAGTGAAAGCTGCTACAAAGATATTGGTCTTGGTGCCTTTGACAGCATTGTCGTGGACACTGGTATAGACAGCCTCTAAAATGTCGTCGGTACAAAGGCGGAGCGTGCTGAGATCGAGGGCAGCATCGGAGATGAGATGGAACAAATCAGTGGGCTGTTGAACGGTGACGGTGGTGGGTTTGTTGATTCGCTCCCCGAATTTACCCCAGAAACTGTTCAGCATGAGCTTGGCGGTGGTCTTGCGACCGGGGTTTTTGACAATGCTGGCAATATCCAGTCGGATACCCTCCCGTTCCTGGTAACGAAGAATGTAGTCGCGTTTCTGCTCAAGGGTCTGACACCAGCCGGGCCACCCTGCGGATTCTTGTTTGATCTTGAGCCAGGTGTTGACGTAATTGGCAAAAAGACCCGTTTGGCATTGCTCAGGGGGAAAATGCCAGACTTCGTGAATTTTGATCAGTGTGTACCCCTTTTCAACAGCTTTAACCAATTCGGGTGTGCACCAGGTGCCACGTAGCGTGCGTTCCGTGTCAGAATGAGGGCAATAACGGGTTCTAGTCAGCATGGGTTGGGCCTGTTCGGTCTGGACACAGGCGCGGCAGAGAGGAAACGTGAGTTTGTTCCCGCTGCGCACGGGCAGAACAGGGTGGAACAAACCAGCGGGGGGAAGAATATCCACAGTGGCTACACCAAAATAGGATTCCAGGGACTGGTCCGCAGGTTGCGTGATGATCCGCGGATGCCCGATGGGGTAGGGACAGTTTTTGTTGACCCACGGGTACAGGGAGGTCACATCCACATAGCGTATTTCCTCACCTTCTCCAGCCACGGCATGCAGAGCGACGGCACCGGTTCGACCTCCAAAGAAGGCTTGACGGGGTTCCAGGGGTGCCACCAGATCAAAGGACGTCAGGAAACGTTGGACGGCTTCATCCCTGTCTACCAAGTTGTCCCATTCACATTCCCACATTTCGATCACCGTATAGCCTGCTCGGAGCAGTGCCATGCGTTTGGAGAGCGTGGCTTGATAGAGTTCCTCGACGCTTCTGTCCGGCACTGCATAATGTTTGGTGGTTCTCCTGGGATAACAACGGGGACAGCCATGGTAGAGACATCCATGAAACTCGTAGACAGTGCGAGTCAGGGGATCGTAGCCATCCACGAAATGAGTATTGGCACTGGTTCGGATGGACTGTTCGCCCCCGTTACGAACGTGACGAATACGGTCAGCACTGGCCCCCTCTTTGGGAATAAGGTGTTCTTGGTAGTAGAGCCATTGGAGGGCTTTGAGGGATTGATTGACTTGGGCCCCTCGCCACCCTCCGAGAGGTTCCACCGCAATGGTGTCGGGGGTCAAATGATGCTTGCGCCAATACAAGTTGCAAGCACTGGCGATGGTGATACACTTGGCCATGGGGTTGAAGCCAGCCTGCTGTTCAAATTCCTCTTGAAAGGCTTCACACCCCGCTTTCAATAGAGTCACATCTGATTTGCAATAGTCGATCATTTCTTGTTTGAAATCGAAGGGCACGTTGCGACGGACTTGATCGGCATGCCAACGAGTCAGTTCCTCTTTCTTTTTGGCCATCATGCCGTCAGGATCGTAAAACTCCAAATCGGGGATGCGGCCCACATATTGTTGGTGATCGGGGGTATTGAATAAATGGGGAAAGAACCCCTTCTTTAATTCGGTCAAATTGAAGGTACTGGGAAAAGAAGCGAGTGGCATGGGCAAGAAACATAACGAGTCAATGAATTTGAGGGGTCCGCTCTTGAACGATAGGACTTTGGCTCCCACCGTCAGTTGATCCTCGACCACGCGTTGTTGCTGGTAGAGTTCGTGGAGAATAAACATGCCATCAAAGCCTTTCAAATTGTGAAATACCACGAGAATCTCTCGTTCAGCCTCACTGTCTGGCACGTCGGTGAGATCATCCAAATCACGCAAAAATTGTAGGGCACAATCCTCCCCGTCCAATACATGAATAGTCGTTTCGGCACTCGATGAATAACACAACAAATTGGCTACAAACACGCCTTCCTCATTTTGCATGGCTTCAAAATCCGCGTAAACAAACAGGGGAGGGGGTGGCGCCACCATGCGACCTCCCCCCTCCTCTGTGGGTTCAGGTTCCTCATGCTCCTCCACCACAGGCTGAATGTAACATTTATGGTCTTGGATGGGTACCCATTCCTGACACACGGGGCATTTGGCGTACCCGCACTGGTGACGCTGGTTACGGACGACCGTATATTGGGCTTGACACTTGCGACAGCATTTGATGGATTGACATTGTCGGCTGACCACGTGATATTGCATACAAGGGATACCATAAAACTTGCGGTGACACGAACTGCAATACTCGGTGGGACGGGTGCCACGCACATACTCCGGACAATCAAAGCGCCCACACGCGGAGCAACGTCTTCCTTGACAAGTGTGATGGGTCCGATCGTTGGAGTTGAACCCCCGTTCACAGTCCATACAATAATACGAACGGTTGACAAAGGCAGGAAAAGACGTGCAGCCATCAAAATGATCGTTGGATTTCAGTAAACGAATCTGATGAGGGGCGGTAGGGCCTTTGAAGATCAAAAAAAACGGTTTCATCCGGGTCATCACCAAGAGTTGATATTGAGACCCCAATGCTTGTTGAAATTGACGAAGCTCGGGTAAACCACAGGGACCCTCCGCCACACTTGCTTGTTGATGGAGAGCCTGGGCTTGACGCTGCTGCACAGGAAACCCACGTTTGAGATTCTCCCAGTCGCGAAACCCGTCCACGCCTTGATCTTTATGGCAATGGGCTCGCATGGTGACAATGGCGCGGGCACAGCATAGGGCATCTCTGTTTTTGATGGGGATGATGCATTTCTTTTTTTTATTGACTCGATCCAAACATGAACGTCCTGCATTGAGTGTTTTTTTATGTCGACCAGACCCTGGACCAGGCATAGAGACAAACACCACATCTACTTGGAACCCGCGATCGGGGTTGAAGGCTTCATTGCTATTCAACTTGCCAGCCAGGGTAGCTAACATCTCATCCAAACGAGCCGTACGTTGTAAAAATTCTCCCACAGTGAAATTGGCCGTTTGATAGGCGTGGGTGAACCCATGCGCTGTAATAGCAAAGTTCACAAAATGATGGGCAGGTCGCTGTTCACGGCCGAGTTCCGTTTCAATGGCTTGGTGTAATGCTTCCGTGAGTGCCATCCCAATATTATCCCCAGGCCCAGGATCCCTCAATTGACGCAATTGCGCGTTGAATTGCGCCCGCTCCACTACATTGCGCCAGCGGCGTCGTCGACCAATAGGTTGCATGGTGAATTGAAAAAGAGGGCCTCGGGCGGGAACGGCCCCTCCCAACTGTTCCCACCGGTCATAGGCGCGGTTTAACAGAGCCTCTTCCTCCTCGTCACTGTCAGGATACCAAGCGTCTTCCGCCATGACGGAGGAGACAATTTGAATTTTCCCGCGCCAGACGCTGGCTTTTATAGACCCAAAAACACGTGATCAGATGAATAGGATTGGTGGAGAGGGCTCAGGTGAGAGTCAGGTGAGAGTCAAGTGAGGGGTTGATTAGACAGGAGGAGGATTGAGGGGGGTGCCCCCCATGGGTCCAGATTTCTCCAGTCTCCTCTGAGCCTGGAGCGAGATCGGTGATTGGTGGAAAGATGGCTAGATATAAACCAGCGTTCAGACCAGACGTCAGTTGCCATTGAGACATGCCTAATCGAGATCCTGAGAAGGTGAAAGAAGCTAAACACCGGTGGTACCTGAAACACAGGGAGAGGATTGCGACACAGAAGCGTGAGAAGCGAGCGGCTCAGAAAAAGCTCAAACCGCCCAATCCGCCTAAACCGCCTCCGACCCAGGAACAAATTGCCAGAGCCCGTGAATTGAATCGGTTGGCCTGCAACCGGTACCGAGCCACGCACGGAGACCAAGTGCGGGCGCTGAACCGCAAATACTACCATCGACACCGCGATCAGATTGTGCAGCAACAACGGGACCGTCGTGCCCGAGCTCGGGAGACACCCAATCCTTTTAGAAAGTTACGGGCGTTGGCAGACGTGTGTGCTGCTCAGTTGTTAGAACTGAATCATGGATACACCAGGATCGCGCCAGCCCCCCAAGAGAAAAAAACGGGACCCTGAAAAAAACAAAATTCAACAAAAAGCCTATCGTGAACGGCTGTATGCCAAAGTGAATGGGATCGAGGACGTCAAGGCCCTCCATCGTCGTCGGTACCATGAACGGATGGTTCGTTTGAAAGCCAATGGCGAATACAAGGCCTTTAAGGCTAAAAAGACCCAAGAGGGCATGCGGCGGTACTATGGCATGACCGAGGAACAACGGACGGTGGTCAAACGCAAAAACAACCAGTGCCAAAAAAACTGGAGGCAGAAAATGAAGGACCGGGGGACGTACCAGGCCTACCTGCAGCGAACCAATGCAAGGCGGCGACAACAAGCCGCCGAGAAAAGAAAAGAGATGGGTGAAGAAGGGTGGAAAGCATTGCAAAAACAGCGGTACGAGAAACGAGTGGAAGCCATTCGTCGTCAACATTGGTCTTGGTTAGACGAAGCCTTGGAACGACCCTTTCCCCTCCCGTGGTTGCCTTTAGACTGGGCTGAGTCCGTGCCTGAAGAGGACAGGGGTGCAAACTATTCGCGCAGAGGCCTTGCAGACAATGGACGATTATTTGTAAGAACAATGAAGTTTAATTAAAACATGTGTGTGATTCAACAAATGTTGTCTTTTTTTTATGACTAAAGGGGTTTACATGCCCAATCGGAGTTTAGCTTTCATAATGCGTCTCACAATGCGCTCAGTCAAGTTTTTGCTGCCGGGGAGTTGATCAATCTTGGCAATCATCTTGCGATCCGCAGCCCATTTGTCTTTCAAATTCTTGGCTTTATCATAATCCATGTCGTGGACTTTGGCAATCCTGTCCAACCGGTTGATGCCGGGATCCCCACGGGCCAAGCGTTTTTTCAAATGGGTGCCAGGTCCCATGTACTGATAACCGGGCCAATGAAATTCAATGCCTGTCTTGTTGAGGAGGTTTTGTACATCAAATAACTTGCCTCCACGTTGCGACCGTCGTCGTCGCCGCCTTGCTCGGGAACGGGGTGGAGCCCGGCGTTTCCGTCCCATATTAGGGGGTTTTCCACGATTTCCAATCCAAGGCTTTTTTGGCCCAACCAGCCGCTTTCTTTTTGGCGACACCCGCAGCTTTCTTTTTGGCACTGTCCGCGGCTCTTTTGCGAATCCCGCGCTTGAGTGATTGCTTGATAGAGTCTACACGTTCTTTAGGGGTTTCCCACGGGGCTGTTCCAGGCGCCTCGGAAAAGGGCAACTCGTCCGCCAACTCCGCACTGCTCAATGGGGTCGTAAACTGGAGTTTCTTTTTAGCACTGGGTGTGAACCTTGGTTTGGGCGGGACAGGTGGTTTTCTGGGTCCACCCGTGGGGGTGCCTTGTTTTATACCCTGGGTGGCCTTGACCAATTGCGTGAACCAGGCTTGCATGGGACCTGCTTCAAAATCATCATCGCCCGGCGTCGTGGCCCCGGCGGCAGTCACACCCCCTGCCGCGGCTCCAAAGGGTTGACGCACTTTTTTGGTCCAATGGCGTAATTGACGGCTTACAGCTTTGAGTTGAGGCCGTTTCCATGCATCGGGGACATCACTGGTCAGGAGGACATGTTGCTTGGCCGCTAAATCCGCGGCTTTGGTCAAGCGGGTATCTTCCACCAATTCTTGTTTGTACTGGTCGCGTAATTGTAAAAAAGCTGGGGCGTTGTTTACCGTGGTGCTGACCATCTCGGGTTCCATGGTGCAACTGAGGGATCTGGTCTAGCGCATGCAACGTTTATAACATCGGTAGAGTTCGGGCCAGAGGGCACCCCCTTTTTGAGCCATCATGATGGCGCGTCGTCGTTTAACGGAATGAGCGGGTTTGGCCATGGCGCGTAAACTCTGGGCGTGAGGTTTGAGCAACGTGATGGTGTGTCGGGAACGGGGTACTGTGCCACGGAGGGTGTTCATCACCAATTCACTGACAGCATTGATCTGATCCGCATTGGCCATCCGCAACAATTCTTGTCGTTTGTGTTGATTGGCTTCTTGTAAGACACTTTTTAAGAACGGGGCTTGACGTTCCATGCGCCACCCCATGATGAATCTTGAGTTCAGGCAACGACCAAGGTCTATTTATGGTAAAAATGGCGCCACACCGACCGCACAATTCGCCATGATAATGCCTTTGCATGTGATGTCGACACCGTGCACACAAGGCCGCTTCATACTGGTCATCCCAATCCAACGCAAACGTGACGGCTTTTCGTTTGGGTCGTGGTCGTCGGTTAGTCCGGGCGTCGAAGACGGACTCTGGGTTTGTATTTCCGGAGCCACAAAGGCGAGAGAGCCATTGCCAAAAGCGGTAAACTAGCGCCGCGTTGGAGTCCACGTCGCCGGCATCGTATTCGAGGGACATAACGATGTCGGCGACCGTTGGGGCCACGAACCATCCTCAATTAAAAATCTTATGTCCAACCAGACGTTTCTTTTATACTTTTTTTCACATAAGGGAACAATTAAAGGATTCCCCCGCATATTTTTTTCGTTTGCCTGAGGCCACTTCCCGTCGACGTTTTTCACCAATGGCGATGGCACGCTTGGTTTGATGATCCCCGATGGCTTTGGTGATCCCATAACCAGCTTTCATAATGCTTATAGGCACAGCAGGCCCGAAACCCCCTAATTGACTCACAGGCCGTCGTCGTCGTTTGGCGGGTCGTCGAGTCGTGGAGTGTTTACGTTTGCGTCTCATAACGACTCTGTTTTTGAGAGCTGAACAGTCTCTTTTTATACACTTTTCACATTAAGCTGCACCCACCCACTTTTTTGGCATACCCCTTCTTGACCAACCACTTGTTGTACGAGTCCTTAGTACCACTTGCGCGATACTGGCGTTTATAATTGGCCACTCGTTGTTTATCCGCCTTGATGTCGGCTTTGGAAGGAATCTTCCACATACTCGAGTCCGTCAACAGCTTGAAGCCTTTTTGGAAATCCACGACGAACGGTGCCTTTCCACCCTTGATCCTCCGTCGACGTAATGATCGTCGAGTCGTGGAGCGTTTGCGATGGCGTCTAGGGGCCATTGCGTGTCCACAACGACCACACATTTTTTTTGGGACGATGGAAAAGAGACCCCTGTTTTTATATCCTTTTTTGACTGTTCACACAGACCTGGCACCTCGTCCACGGCCGCGTCCTCGGCCACGGCCTCGTCCTCGACGTGGGGGTCGTGGTGGTCGTGGGCCGGACGTGCGGGTGGACGTGCGGCGCACCGAAGGACGTCCACCCTCTTCGTAGACGGTGGTCACTGTATTGGTATGCGTGATGTTGCGAATCCGTCGGCCTCGAGCCCGTTCTTGAGCATCTTCATTGAGCAAATCCAACCGTCGCCTTAAGCCTCGCCCTCGATCGTCGTCATCATCATCTTCATCCTCGTCATCGGACGGAGGGGACGAATCGGGAGACGGTGGGGCGGGGGGACGTCGTCGCGGTTGTTTGGCGGCGATGGTGGGGCGTCCAGTGGGGGTCGTCACCGTGGAGGTGGTGGTTCTGGTGCCTGCCCCAGCGCTGCGGCGAGAGGTGGAGGGGCGTGAGGGAGCCGTGGTGGTCGTGGCGGTGGTGGCGGGGCGTGTTCGGGTGGAGGTGACGGGTCGTGGCCGACTGGTGGTGGTGGTGGTGGTGGTGGGGCGTGTTCGGGTGGACGTGGTAGGGCGGGTTTGGGTGGCCGTGGTGGCGGGCGGTGCTGTGCCGGTACCCGCCACGGGCGGTAACGTGAACGCATTCAAGGCATCGTCCACATTGACCGGGTAAGTCAAATTAAAGGCGTCAATGTCTTGATCCAATTGAGCACGATCCACGGGTCGAGACAATTCGGTCACTATGTCCGTCATACTACTGAGATCCTGGGGTGGAGGGGGCGGTGCCGTGGGGGCGCCCACGCCCGCGGGCGAGAGGGTGGGCGTGTCCATGCGGGCGGCTAACTCAGTATGTTGTCCGCCTTCTCTTTGCCGACGAACCCTGGCGAGTTCTCGTTGCAGTTCGTTTTCGAACGGCAGGGACATCCGCACGCAAGGTGTGGACTTGGGCTTTGCCTTCTCGAGGCGTTAAATGACTCCACAGGCGGTAGCGATCATCCGACGCAGGATGCACATCCAACATCAAATAGCCAAAGGGACGGGCCGTGATGCGTTTAAATAGGCGCAAGACTTGACGCCACCGTTCCGGAAACGCTTGCAATAAAATGGTTCGGATGCCTGTTTGATCCCGGGGGTTTTTGAACGCCACAATGTAATGCGCGTTGCGATTAATGGTCTTGGAAAATTTGCCAGGCGGGAATAAATCTTGTGTCAAATACAGCACCGTGATGTTGCGATGATGCGAATCTTTGGTGAACAAATCCAACACGCGCTTGTCTTGTCCCCCTTCTTCCATCAGGTCGTCCAAGACCAGTACCCCTCCGCGCGTCCGACCAAACCATTGCGTCAAATGACGGGGGTCCGGTAACCCGCGATGAAATTGAATCCCATCCTTTTTTTGCATACGCTCGAATCGGGGTTGCCAACGATCATAGGCATACACCATCTTGCGGGGTTTGACTTGAAAGACGTTGAGGTACCGTAACCATTGTTCCACCAAGTCCGTCTTGCCACTGCCCGAGGGGCCCGCGATGATCACACTACTGGGTTGACGGATCATGATTCCCACGGTCGAGGGTGACGTCGATAATGACCTGTGGCCCCTTTAGCACCCATGCGTTTATACCGTTTGTCCCGTCCCAATTGGTCGCCAATTTTATACGCTTTGGCCAAGACGCTCATGATGCCGCGCCCGTTTTGGCGAAAGCAGGGTCGTCGGGTGCGCCGTCGTCGTCGTCGTCTGTGGTTGGGCATGTTGTCCAATATTCGCGGTACAATCGTGGCGATTCACACTGAATCAGATGTTCCATGGTCTCTCTTAAATACGTTTCGCTCATACTGTCCATGTACTGTTTGAGGGACACCCAGTCTTGGTCTTGCGCCATTTGTCGAGCCACTAACCAATGATACCCATCCCACGCGTCAATGCCTTGCACGGTGTTGACCCGCTCGATCGGGTGTTCCCACCAATACAAGGTTTCTTCGAGAATAAACGCATCCACTACACGCTGCACATCGCTTCGCGTAATCATGATGAACTACAATGACCACTCGTTCACGACACACCTCGTTTTATGGGTTTTTTTTTTTTATTTTAACACTCACAATGATTACAAGTGATAAAGGCCTGTCGGCTCACATTCTTTTGCCCCCCGTTAGGACATCGGGCATCCACTTCATCTTGTAATTCCTGTTTAATCACCCGTTTCAACTGGTCGGCCACTTTATGATCATTCAACACTAAATTGTCGCAACTCCATTGACTCAAAAATTCTTGATACGACTGTCCTTGTGCACGGGCTTTCAAGAAAAATAAAGCATAATGGCCACAGGTTTGACTATCCAGGGCTTGCAGGGTCTGGTCACTGCGCGTCAGGTACTTCCATTGACTCCACCATTGGTGCAACTCCGGGTTGGTGTACACGTGCAGGGGTAGACCATAACTGTCAAAGATCTCGCACTGGTTCTTTTCTGTCCACAGCCCCAACCAATGCTGACCCGGTTCTCCCGCTGGATCGGTGTTGACAATGTACCCTTGACGGATCTCTTTGGCGGGGGATCGGGGGAGTTGGTCGGCGGGGTACACCCCATGAAACACGCGTCGTAAGGTGGGATCTTCCAGGGCCAGGGTCCGCAACACAGTATCACTGAGCGCCACAAACTCCATGACCGGTGTCTTTTTGACTTCTGATTTCTCAGCCGTTGATGTTGTACTTTATACCTCCCAGATGATTGATCTCATACATGTTTTCATACTCGCTCCATACCAACACGGTGACGTTGTGACCGACAGCAGCCGAAAAATCAATCACTAGTCGCGTATTGCCTGATTGGCGGGGGTTGCGATAATGAGGGTCATCGGCTTTTCCACTGGGCACATTGTTGAACATGAACAAGGTGCAGTTCTTGCCTTGTCCCCAATCACCAGGCAGCAGCATGGGAATCTTGTTTTCATTGTAGGCACCCATGGCTTGCAGAAATCGATCGTAGCCCAGCAAATCTTCATAGGCTTGGTCTCCAGTCAGTTGCAGGGTTCTGTAAGGGTATTCTTCTCCATTCAAGGTCTGTCGTACTTGGGTGACACCAAATTTTTCAAAGGCAAAGGGGTATTTTTCTAGGTTTCCATTGAAGGCATCCGAATGCAATAACCCGACAATCACTCGGTCAGGAAATCGTCCCACAAACACATTGTCTTGTTCCCATTGGGTGGTGCGACCATCAAAGGAAAACGTGCGAATTTCGCTCCGCACGACAGGGTAGCGGGCAATCTGTTTGTTCAGCTGTCTTTCTTTCTGCAGTCTGACATAGACGCTGGCATTCAGGGTCACTTTTCTCATCAACAAGGTGACTTTGATGTCATCATTGTGGATGGCTGGAATTTTCTTGGTTACCAAGGTGCCTTTGTTAGGGCTGCCCATCAAGTAGATGGTCTTGGGGTTGAGGAACAGTTCAAAATCCATCTGGATATTGGGGACCAACAATTTGCCTGTCTTGAGGGGTGGTAAATGGGGACGCACGATGAAGGTGTGCCAATTTTCACTCAGCAATTTGCTGGTTAGGGTGCGCAATTCTGCATTGCCACTCCAATTCGCGGCGACAGGAACATCGGAATTGGCGGCTGTCGCTCCTATTTCTTCTGCCACATTAAGCTGATTGACCCATCCTTGGGGGGCTAGCTTGGTAGCTCCTTCTTCTCGGTTGTAATTCAACAGAGTTTCTATGTAGGATCGGTAATGGTAGGTGTTGCTCTGTTCGGTCATGAGGACACCATTCATGCTCATGGTGATATCTCGAAAGATGGTGTGACCGAAATTGTTGACGCAGTAAACATGTCTGCTTTCGTTGGCATTGGAAATGAGTAGACCAGCATGCAATCCTGTATACCCAGCGGCAGGATCGGTCAGGCGTACTTTGACTTTAAAGCGGAGAGAATTGGTGTCGTAATAATCGTCGGAGCCTGGAATGGAGAAGGTGATGGGTTGAATGCCTGTCAAGGCGGGTTGAAACTCCACGTCCCGCGAGGCTTCGTACCGATAATCCACATCGGGCACGTCAAAGAGTTCGAGCGACATGATGCAAACTGTCCAGGTGGTTCATCGGCGTCTCCTTTTTATACCCTGTCGTTGCTTCCGGGCTTTGGCTTGATTGGCCCACAACACCTTCCTGAGATCCCCTTTGCCAAAAAGGGTGCCCCCTTTCATACGGCGTAGGGCCTGCTTCACCCTCCAGGGTGCGGGGTTGATCCGGTCCGGGGCTGTGGGAAACCCCAAAGGATTAGTATTGCGTCTGCGGGTAAAAATCGTACCCCCTTTCATCTGGCGCTGTAGGTATCGATCCAATTGGCGGGAGGACGTGTGCATCAACGGATAGCGCGCCGTGGTCGACTTGCCAAAGATCGTGCCCCCCACTTGATACGGCGAAATAAACCGTCCACGGGCGCGTTGCCGTCGAATCCGATTTTGCGATTTGAGAAAACCTCCTACACGTACCATTTTTTACAGTCCAAAGATATCCCGTACGCGTTGTGTGGCTCTTTTATAGGTATTTTGGGCAGACCGTTTGACCTTGTGTTTGCCAGCCGTCCAAGCCATGGCGGGGGCTTTGCGTTTCAATCCACGGCTGAGTTGAGCACTTCGATCCGCCCAGGTGGCCGCAGCACTCTTGCCACGTTGAATATCTTGCAGTCCCGCTTGAGCTTGTTGCACGATCAGGGGTCCTGCCAGTTTGATCAAGTCTTCGGCCAACCCTTTCCCCTTTTGCTTGGTGAGCACGGGCGTGTGGTACCGCGTTAAACTGCCTCCGCGCATGGTTCACGTCGTGGTGCTTTTTGGACCTTCCAGAGACGTGGGTGGGTTTTTTATAGCTTTTTGAGACCAATGGTCACCAGGGTTTTGCCCGGGGGTAAAACGGCCAGGGGTCCACTGGTACTGGCAATCTCCACTTCCAAGATCTCGAGTTGATTTCCACGTAGTTTGATCCATTGGTGGTGCAAGGGTTCGGCCGTACTTTCCCCATCCCCCGTTCTCAACAATTGCACTTCCCGTAACAGAGGATACTTGCCACTGCCCACCACAGTGGATTCCACCAGGTCTGAGTACACCATCACGGTACGTCTGCGAGTCCCCACGATCTTTTCAAACGAGGCATCCAGGTTATTCAACTGCCATTCCACTAGCAAGGACAAATGCAAAAACTTCACACCATCCTGGGTCCGAACCTGCATGGGATCATGTTCAATACTGCTGACCATATTGCCAAACAGCAAGGTGGGATTGACGGCCTTGTATTGCACACCTTCCCAGTTGTAGGGCGTGCGATCGGAGTTTCCTTTGGGTGGAGTATCCGAATCATAGGTGGCCGTCGGCAGAGTATATTGCATATTGGGCCCTAGGTAATACTTTGTCGCGTTGTTGACTGTCTTTTCCTCTACCAACCCAAACTTGAGCGCAATGTCCAGGTTGATGAAAAAATCAGTGATGGCTTTCTTGTCCGCTTTAAACAAATCCGTTTGGGGAAGGGCCTTAATCACCAAGGCACCTTTTTTCCAGGTCAGTTTGGGCATGGCGTTTTGTTTGGCACTGACAATAGGTCTTTGGTCAGGTTCCGCGACCAGCCACCGCATTTGTTCCGCCATCACATTGTGCATCATTTTGTTGTGCATTTCTTGCATCACGCGTTTCCAAAACTGACTCCCCGTCGCCACGATTTGACTCGCATTCATGATCTCTTCCAATTCCAACACGCAGTCCACGGTTTTCACCTCGGCGAATCGGTGCATCCCCGTCACCCACTTGCGGATCACATAGCTCATTTTGAATTTGATCACTTTGGTATGTGGATCCGCCGCAATGATGGCATTGCTCTGACCTTGATCCGGCACGGTCAGGGACATCAACGAGGCATGCCAGCCTTCGCCCGGTAAGCTCAGGCGTTCGGGTAGACGGACCTTGAAACTGTTGTTGGCATTGTTAGGAAACTCGTCGGTCGGATCGCTGATGAGCGTCAGGCGTTTAATCTCACTCATGATGAAGAAAAGTAGGCGCGTTCCATGGAGTGCAGGGTCCTTTTTATAGCCAAGTCGCCACTTTCTGTTTACTGCGAGGGACACGTCCCACCACTGAATTAAAGGTCGATTGTTTGGGATGAAAACACACTTGCTGGGCAATGTTGGGAAAAGCCCGGGCCAGTTCCATCAGGGTCATACAGGTCTTTTGTTTAGGGGGTTTTTTCTTGCGCATGGGTGGATGACGCCCGGCGCGTCGGCGTTGTTGTTTTTTCTTGGGTGGGGACCGTAGAGCCCCTCGTTGCTTGGCATACTCTTCGGCTCGATGGTAAGCATTGACGTAGGCCCATTGCTGCTTGGTAGGGCTGGCCAACTTGTCCCACCACGGTTGGGTTTGCCGTTGTTCCGCCGCTTTCTTCTGGATGAATTTTAGGACGTCCGCGTCACTAGAGGGAGAGGGCGTGTAACTGGCCCGCGGTCGACTGGAATCCGCCTGGACTTCATCGAGAAACCGTACCCGCTTTTTTCTTTTTCGAGGCGTTATTTTGACGCGGACC